TAGAAGCAAGTATTCTTGCTTTGAGGGAGTACTTGAGTGGAGGCCCAATGTCCTTCTGCTACCTTAATACTAAACCTATAAATGTAGGCACATAGATCTATTTCCCCATCCTCATATAGATATTTTTGCATATGTACCTATCTTTATCTAGACCTCTATAAATGCCCTTTGCCTCCCAGCTCTTTCTTCTATTTCCCTTGATTTTCCTCCTGTCCCACTATCATGCTCAGTCCCCACTAGGGTTTCAGCAATTCCTCTTAGTTATATTACCCTTGATCATGCCCTACCAGGCCTCCCACACCCACCTAGAGGTATAATGAATAGTTGTTGACTAGTTTTCTCTGAAAAGCAAATATCTTAGTTTTGTTATTTTTCATTAGCAAAGAAAGCAAAACAAAAAAATCTAAATACCCAATAATGTTGCTGGATTTCTGTTTGTTTGAAACTCCACTTGTTTAACCCTGTGTAGGTGGTAGGTGTTGTTGAGTTGGTTCCAACCCTTTGTACAGCAGAAGGAGAACCCTGCTGGCTCCGTACCAGTCCTTAAAAGCGTTTGTTATGTTTGATTCCATTGTTGTAGCCACGGTGTCAATTCATCTTATTGAGTTTAATTCATACTTTTAAGTTACATATAAATGTGTTATAAAATTTGTCGTGTGTTTAAGGAAAATTCTATTTTATGCCTAGTGAAGAATTTGTGAATTCAATTTTTCTTATTGACTTGATTTTTGGCCTTGTGCCATGCATTTCTAATAATCCAATTGTTTATCTGATAGTTTTATACATTTGTTTGCGCCCTAGAAATACTTATTTTATTGATTAATGAGAAAATTTGCTAAACTCAGCTAGGATTTTGGCAATACTTATTTTTGGTTGGGAAGTGCTTTGGTTTAGAACAAGTGGACATGGATTTCCTGCTCTCCTTTCTCTGTTTTATACAAAGAAGAAAAACCTCAGGAATACTAGGATATTTACATCGGAATTAGTAATCTTCACAGCCACACATCTATCCTTTCCCACTGCTATTGAGTCAATTCCGACGCCCGGTTCTTGAGACTGTACATTTTTACGGGAACACACAGCCCCTTCTTTCTCCCACAGAGCAGGTGGTGGGTTTGAACTGCTGACCTTTTGGCTAGCAGCTCAACACCTATACTAACCCACACTGCCACCAGGGCTCCTTAAACCTCTCGGTAGGAAGCATATGAAATAAGTGATTTGTGACTTTGGGGGTTTCAGGTGGCTATATTGATGGGTAGTCCCAATGCTTTGTCCTAATGTTCTTGCTTTTACAACTCTCAATTTTTGGTATTAATCATTTAGGTAAATAATTGCAAGAGACTAAATTTTCTTATTTTGCAACATTCACTTTTAATTTATATACTATATAATCTTAATTATATATTATTATAGAAGAAATAACTTTCACTTTTCCTTTTTGTTGTAATATGAGCAATGTCACCAGCTTTCACAAGAAGATCTGAATGACATCTCAGTAGGGAGCATCACTGGTAACGCATTGTGAACACGAGTTGCCTGAGCACATGCATTCTTTGGCGACTCCCGCTGTCATTTGTGAAAGAACATGAAAGTGTGCCTTCCTTGCCTGACATAGCAATTAAAGTTTATACAGTATTAATTAGATTACAATTTTTAAAAAACCATTAAAGTTCCATTGGCTGCCACAAGGTCAGAGAAAAGGATGAAGGGCTCATTGCTGAATACTTGACCCTTACTATAACTTAGTTTAATATGTCCCTCGGGGACCTTTCAAAAGTAGCATTTTGGTCACATTGTACACGTATGTACTCGGGTAAAACAGATTAAAAACCTATGTGACATTTAAGACACGGGAAATAGTAGCAGCTTGCATTGAGGAAGAAGCCATCGAGTTTTCTAAAATGGAGCACTGACTCGAGTGGGCCTCTTGCTGACTCCTGTCTTCAGATCATTGTATTACACAAATTGTAAGTCTTTATGTATTACCAAGTATTCAGAGTCCGTCTTTTTTTTTTTCTTTTAAAAGATCTGAGTAACATAATGTACACTCACTATCGAAAAGCACAGATACCAAGCAAACATTTGAAAACAAAATGTAAACCACGGTAAATCAAAGCCCCCTAAGCTCACGACAAGCGCCGTGGTCGCCCCGTGGTTCTGCATGTGGCTGTGGATGGACTCGCAGCCACATTTGCTCGAGCAGAGAAGGAGGCGCAGTTGGTTTCCAGAAAGGTGTATAGCCCTGACAACCCTGGGGTGCAGTTCTGCTCTGGGTCAGGCTTTCTCTGAGTCAGAATTGCCTGGAAGGCAGTCAGTAGCATTAGTTGGGTTTCTGCTAAAGCTAATGTCTTGGCATTTTGGTAACTCTCCTTCTGGATTTTTTTCCTCATGTAAATATATTTTAAGAAATTGTTTGTTTTACGAAAGTGAGGTATTAAGTATACTGTTCTATAGCCTTCATTTTTCCTGCCAGTAAACATAGAGTACGGATTTTCTATTACGTGTACATCACTCCAGACCTGGGACTTTAAATAGCTCAGTGAACAACTCCAGTGTCTCTCATTGCATTTTCCACGAGACTTGAAGACCCGTCTACAAACCCTAGAAACCTAAACCCATTGCCAGCAAGCACAACTCCTAACTTTAGAAGACAAATGAGAACAGGGAAGAGATGGGGCTTTCTACTCACGTAAATAGCTCCGAGTCGCGGGAACCACAGGGCAGTCTGCCTGTCGTGGAGGGTCACTAGGAGTCAGCATCAGCTCGTGGCAGTGAGTTGGTTTCTAATATGTACGGGAGCCGATAGTCTCATTTTTCTCCACCGAGAACAGCTGGTGGGTTCAACTGCCAAGCTTGCGGTTAGCAGCCCACCATGCGAGCAGATACGATATGTGGTTTAAATCGTCCTCTAGTCATGGCTATTTTTTCCTGCTTTTGAGTGTGATGAATGTGTGATGCACCAGAAATGTTTTCCCTTGTCTGAGAAAGAACCAATGATTACCATAGGATAGAGTGCTAACGATTGCTAGGCAAAAGATTATGAATTTACCTAAAGCCAGCAGTGTCTAATTTGTAAGTCTGAAAAGCCTGTTTATTTTCATTTACTAGTAGATTGTATTTTTCACACATTTCCTACATTATATTTCCTACTGACAGGGTAAATGACTTTTTTCACAGCCTTTTCCCCACCCCACCCCCATTTGAGGCAGATATCTTTTTATTTATAATAGAGCCTTCTTACATTTATCTTGTGATTTGTCTCATTTGTGTTTTTCCTCCTATGGTATTTTAGGGGGTAGATTTTGGCCCTCTCGGAATTCCTGCACCCATTTTAGTCTTTTAAAGTTCTCTTTCTAAAGATGTGTCAGTGCAGTGTGTCATATTGTAGTGACTCTGTGGTCCAACAGAACAAAGCAAGTGCTGAACTAGCCTCCCAAGGGTGTAGCCCACTGTTGCGGCCACTGAGCCAATACTCCATCTCTGAGCTCTTCCTTTCCCGGCCTCTCTGAGCTTCACAGAGTTGATGACCCTCCTGATAACAGGCCCAGTCCATGAGGGCAGGTCTCCTCATTCTCACCTTTGAGGAGCTTTCTGGCGTACTTCTTCCAAGACAATGTATTTTATAATAATGTATATTTTTACATGGTCCGTGTGATTTTCAGTGAATCTAGAACATGCTGACATTTTTTTTTCCATCCCAAATAATCTCAGGAGCAGACATGATAAGCATACATAATGAAGAAGAAAATGCTTTTATACTGGATATTTTGAAAAAGCAGTGGAAAGGCCTGGATGATATTCTACTAGGAATGTTTTATGACACAGATGGTAAGTAATAGTTACTTGTGGGATATCATTGTTGTTTTCCTGTTTCTTAATACTAGGAAAACTGCACGTCATTGTTGTTCTTTTCGTTCCTCTTCTATTCTTCTCTTTCAGTTTTGTAGTTAAAGCTGACATTTTCCGTGGCCTCTGTGTTACCAAATATCGCTTTAAGACTTGAGCCACAACTTTAAACTGAGGGCTCAGCCTGTTTCCTACATAAAAACCATAGCTAGCTCTCTTCTGAATTAAATGCTCTTTATGCCAAGTATTTTTATCATGTCGTGACCATAACAATTACTTGTGTTGGAAATTAAAAGAAAAAGGAGAGACTGAACTATCTTCTATGAATGTATTTGTTTTCAATATAGAAAATACCTCTGCAGATGTATTCACTATGAAAGGACTAATGTTACTGTTATTATTTTAACCATTTTTCTTAGAAAATGTGTTTTTTAAAATGTAGAACAAAACTCAACATCATAAAAAGATTACTGGTTACCCAAAATCCATTTGCAGGATCCACACATGGATTAAGCCTCCAGTGAATCCCCTCTGATCATAGTTGAGATGTGACTAGCCCTGTTATCAGAGAGAGAACATTGTAGATTATGGCAGATGTAATTAAGTTAAAATGCAATATCTTACCATTTGATCTCCCTTTTGACCCGTTTAAAAAAAAAAAAGTGATGGGGAAATACCGCGTGGATTAAGTCCTTGGTGAATCCCCTCGGACCATGGACCAGGGATTTGAATACCAGATACGGCTAAGTTAAAATTTTGCACCCTATCATTTATGATCCATTTAAATATGGACATTTTTAGTATTTTCTTTCCATTTGGCTGAGGTTTTATGTTTTACTTTTTTTTTAATGCTTTTCTCTATATGAAACCCAGGATAAGTAAGTCTATAGGACAGCAACTGGATTAATACTTCCTTAGGGGCATGCAAGGGGAGGTTGGGGGAAAATGGGGAGCTAAAAACCATGAGTTTAAGAATAAAGAAAATGTTCTAAAACTGTGGTGATGATTGTACAACTCCTCTTGAAATGACTGAACTATTGAATTGTATGATATGTGAATTCTATGGCAATAAAATTGGTCATATGGGGAGTTGTGGAACCCACCAGACGATGGCATTTAGTTCCCCTGCAGCTCTGGAACCGAACTCAAACCCCCGCCTCCATTTTCAATAAATGAGTAGACAGGTCTCTACCAGGGGATCAATAATTCTAATGAGATATGAACACTTTAGAACATAGGTTTCCCAAATTATTTGGGGCCTAGTGCTCCCCTTGCAGACAAAATAAAAAATTACCCAGCACCAATTCCCTTCCTGCCCGTCAATTAAAAACTTTTCTACAATAAGCTAGAATAATATGTAACGCCTAACCCCCGGATTACCCACTTTGGGAAACACTGCCTTAGAATAATCCATCATTTCAGATGAAAAAAAGCAGCATTTACCCAAGGACAGAGTTCAGAAGGGTTAAGAAAGGCAGAGGAAAGGAAACTGGGGGAGGTGGGATACATCAAGAGGATTGCTATTAATGAGCTGAAATGAAATGTGGATGAATTTTGTACTGTAAAACTGGTGCTTTGCTCTGTAAGTCTCCACCCAAGTCACAATAAAGTTAAAAAGTCCTTAATGCATTTTGATGCTTTGCCTGTAACAGACCCAAAACCAAACTCCCTGCCAAGTCAATTCCAACTCAGAGCAACCCTGATAGAAACCTTGTGGGTTTCTGAGGCTATAAATCTTTTGGGAGCAGAAAGCCTGATCTTTCTTTCTCCTGGGGAGATGCTCAGAGGTTTGAACTTCTGGCCTGTAGTTAGCAGCCTAATTGAGAACCAATTATACCACCAGGACTTCTTTCTCCTGATTCAAAGCAAAAGTTTAGACCAGACTTTTAGTATTTCCCACTTTTAACCTTTAACTTCTTTCTTTCAATACCTTTTCATAGGACTCCTTGAGTGGTACAAAGTGACTACCCTAGATTGCTGAAAGGTTGGAGGTTTGAGTTCACCCACAGGCACCTTGGAAGAAAGGCCTGGCCCATTGACTTCCCCAGTCATCCATTGAAACCCCTGTGGATCACGGTTCTACTGTGACACACAGGGGCCACTAGAGTTGAAATCAATTTGATCAATTTTATACTGTCAGTGTTGGAAATATTCCTTATCTTGACAGATGCCTGTTTCAAGTGGTTCGATAAATCAAATATGACATTTGATAAGTGGACAGACCAAGATGATGGTGAGGATCTAGTGGACACCTGTGCTTTTCTGCACATGAAGACGGGTGGATGGAAAAAAGGAAATTGTGAAGTTTCTTCTGTAATAGGAACACTTTGCAAAGCAGCGAGTAAGTACGAAGGCCTTTTTTTTGTCTCCCAAGGAGAGTAAAAGAAGGGCAGGTTTCCAGATAATTGTCTTTGACTTTAGTGTGCCTCGATAAGTAGAGGGAAGTTTTTCAGAATATTTTAGGATAGTTTGCTCCCACGTAACTTTGAAGCCAAATATGCAACTCTTTTGCATTTCAGATAAAGGGAAGCACATATAATTTTATTTTACCTGTTTCTTCCTAGAGTTTGCAAGATGTCAAAATATTCTTTTGTTCAAGGGGGTAGTCATAGACCCTTCGCATGCCGTGTGATTGCACAGTGGGAAAGGACGAGGAAAGGTCGTGTATGATGCTTAGAGTCTAATGATTAGCTTACAAGTAGATTAGAATCTATTTAAGAACTTTTGTTTAAGTCAACAAAGAGAATTCCGTCACGGCTTATAATTTACTCTGGAGTAAAAGTAAAATTTTCATTTTCATATGACAATTCAAAATGCTTTTTAAAACACTAAAATGGTCTCAGCCCACAAAAATATTTTGATGTTTTTATTAAACACTGAGTCTAGTTTATACTTTTACATTTTAGAAATGCTTTTCTGATTAAGGACACGTATAACATTTTACTATATGATTTTAGCATGCTTGCAACTTGACAGACGGCCCTTTCCGCGTTTTGCATCATGTTCCTCTCTTCTGCTTCTACTGGCACTAGAACAATCCAGCTGGCTCTGCTCACTGTCTTTCTTTACATCTGATACCAAATTCCCTACCTCCCCACATCCCAGCCCACCCCCAGCCCTGCTCCCACACACAGCAGGGTGCTTGACTACAGTAAGTTTTATAGTGATGACCTACATTGTTTCTTTGTTGTAGCTTATGGTGATAGCATTCAATTTCCAACATTTATTTGATTTTTTAAAAATTGGTTCTTTTCACATACTGCACCTCAGGGCACCATTTCATAAACATAACTTTTCATTACATTCTAAGTTTAAAACATCAGACACAGTGAGCAAATCCATATTGAGGACAAGGTCAGAGTTATAATATTGCTAAGTTGGTTTTCTCCAGACTCGTCAGAACCTTTTTACTCCTCTCGCTTCATCTTTTTTTCTCTTCAGTTCCTTTATTCTCTCTCCAAAAGCCAAGTGATAGGCCTCAAGAAATATATTTATATATATATATTAAACTAAGTTCAAAACAGATAATGGAGGCAGCTAAGCAACAGTCTACTAAACCAGCTGTCTACTAAACAGTTCAAATGCTTTAGAAGCGTTGTAAGTTAACCTTTGAAAAGTACACTTAAATTTTAACTGTTATGTTCTTTTGTATTTTAGTCCCATATGAAAAGAGATATTTATCAGGTAAGTCATGCTTTCAGCTTTTTTTCCCCCATAAGAATATAGTATTAAGATTCTATCATGCTTGGCCCTCCACTCAAGTACTCCCTCAATGGAAGAACACTTTGTTCTACTGAACTGGCATTCCATGATACTCACCTTCCTGACACAATCGCTGAAGACAAAGCGGGTAAATAAGCAAATGTGGTGAAGACAGCTGATGGTGCCCGGCTATTAAAAGATATAGCATCTGGGGTCTTAAAGGTTTGAAGATAAACAAGCGGCCATGTAGCTGAAGCAACAAAGCCCACATGGAAGAAGCACACCAGCCCGTGTGATCACGAAGTGTTGATGGGATCAGGTATCAGGCATCAAAGAACAAAAAATCATATCATTGTGAATGAGGGGGAGTGCGGAGTGGAGACCCAAAGCCCACCTGTAGGCAACTGGACATCCCCTTACAGAAGGGTCGCAGGGAGGAGACAAGCCAGTCAGGGTACAGTATAGCAATGATGAAACATACTTTACTCTAGTTCCTAAATGCCTCCGCCACCCCACCCCCACCCCATGATCCCAATTCTACAAGTTTGACTAGACTAGAGGATGTACACTGGTACAGATAGGAACTGGAAACACAAGGAATCCAGGACAGATGAACTCCTCAGGACCAGTGGTGAGAGTGGTGATACCAGGAGGGTGGAGGGAAGGTGGGGTAGAAAGGGGGAACTGATCACAAGGATATACATATAACCCCCTCACTGGGGGATAGACAACAGAAAAGTGGGTGAAGGGAGATGTCAGACAGTGTAAGACATGACAATAATAATTTATAAATTATCATGGGTTTGTGAGGGAGGGTGGGGCGGGAAGGCAGGGGAACAAATGAGGAGCTGATACCAAGGGTTCAAGTAGAAAGAAAACGTTTTGAGAATGATGATGGGGACATGTACAAATGTACTTGACACAATGGAAGTATGTATGGATTGTGATAAGAGTTGTACGAGCCCCCAATAAAATGATTTTTTAAAAAGATTGCCATGCTAATATACTTTAAAAGATTCCTTTCAAATTAATTATATAACATAATGTAAAGTAGGATAACTTTTATAAGACTGCAGAAAGGTCTCTTGGCTTAGTAATAAGACTTGGAATTTTAAATCTGGTACTGCAAGTTATAGATGAAATAAACTTAAATTTATTTTTACCAAATTATATTTTCCCAATTGATCTCCATTGTTAAAAAAAGTTGAAGCTATACCTCAAAGTTGTAATTACATTTCATGAAGTATCTAAATGCCCTAAAAAAAACCCCAAAAACCCCATATAACATATTTTACATAGTTCAAAACTCAAAATTATGGAAGGTAAACACTTGAAACATTTCCCCTCCTTCCAACCCCTATCCAATGTTTTTACCTTTCCTCTTACTGGACACCATTTAAATCAGTTTCTTGTTTAACCTTTTACAGTTTTGCTAATGTAAGCAGAGTTAAATGTTTTATTTTGCCCTTTCAGTCTACAGGTGTCCCTGTATGATTACCTAGTGTTTCTATTTTGTAGCCGCACCCTCTGCCACTCTATGAATAGACATATTTAACGAGCATCAGATTCCTACAGAGCCATCTCCAAACACTTGCTATCATCAAGAATGCTGCAATGAATCACCTTGTAGAAATCTGCTTATAGATTTTCTTGAAATATAGTTGCTGGGTCCAAGATTAATCTCTAACTTTGATTAATCTGTCAATATTGACAGATATTGTTCTAGACAAGTTTTAACATTTTGCATTCTCAGTAGCAATGTATAATAGAGTTTACTATGAATTGTATGGATTTGCTGCCATTTGGCTATCTCTTTATTTCCCTAGTTTTAGGTATAGTTTTAAACTACACAGACCATAAGCGTACAGCTTGAGTTTTCATGCGTAGTCCTATGTAACTACCATTCAGATGAAGATATGGAACATTTCTATTATCCTAAAAAGTTTGATTCCTTTCCTCAAAAATGTCCACCACTGCCCATTACTACAGTAACATTCTTTCTCTTACCATAGTTACCTATTCTTGAACATCATGTACTCCTTTATACATGTCTGGTTTTTCATTCAACATGTTGCTTAACTTCATGTTATGTATATACATGGTACTCAATTGCTATACAATATTTTATTTTATAAAAATATAAAAGCCAGTTGTTGATGGATATTTGGATTGCCTCCAGTTTGGGAATATGATGAATTGAGCTTTCTCTGAATATGTTCAGAGAAATCTAATTTTGGCCTAGTTTTAATTTTTCTTGGATCTATTCCCAAGTCTAGAAGACCTGGGTCATCCATAGTGGTGGGGCCATGTTCATTCCGATTAGCACCATTTATCCCCATCCCAATGATGGCAGTGTCAAGTCTCTCTGCAAGGGTCTAATTGTGATTTTAATTTTAATTTCTCTGACATTGAATACCTTTTCACATTATCATTTAGATAACTTTCTCTTTTAAAAATACCTGAAGGCTTTTGTCCATTTGTGTTTTTATTTTAAAATACTTTCATTGGGGGCTCTTACATCTCTCATCACAATCCATACATTCTTCCAGTGTCAAGCACATATGCTGCCATCATTTTCAAAGCGTTCTCTTCCCACTTGAGCCCCTGATATCAGCTCCCCATTTCTCCCCCCTCCCTCCCCCAACCACCCTCCCTCACGAACCCTTGATAAGTTATAGGTTATTTTTTCCATGTCTTACATCACCTCCTCCATCGCCCCTCACTCACTTTTCTGTTATTTGTCCCTCTGGGAGGGGATTCTAGATTGATCCTTCTGATCGGTTCCCCCATTCTACCCCTGTCCTCCTCTAATCCTCTGGGTATCTCTACTCTCCTTGTTGGGTTGTTTTGTTTTTAAGGGGTTGTTTGGTAGACAGACTTGCATAGCCCCTGGAACATTGTCAGAGGTGTGTTGTGGGCATTTTCCTACAATTTGGGGCTCACTGTTGATTAAAATCATGTTGGGGAGGAGGAATGAAGCACCTAGGAGTTTATATCAGGTGCTGAGAGCACGCTGAATTATTCCTTCTATGGGAAGTCAATATAGAACACCTGAGCCCAGTGAGTGGCATAGTGCGTTATGAATTGGGCTGCTAACCACAAGGTCAGCAGTTCTAAACCAGCAGTCCTCATTAGGAAGATGAGTTTTCTATCCCCGTTCAGATTTACAATCTCAGAATCCAACAGGAGCAGTTCTATTTTGTCCAATAGGGTCAATGAGTCAGAATTGAAGCTAGTGAGTTTAGCCATTATGTGCTTTCTATCAAATAAGCGATGGATTTTTGCCTTTTAACTTCCTAACTCAAAACTCTCCTTTGCTCCAGTGAGAAACCTTGCATAGCATTGTAATATACTGCTTGTTCTCTGCCTTGTGATTGACCTCCTCCCATGTTCAGTAGCATAGATTGTCCACAGTTCACTTGCAAAATGGAAAATACTAACAGAATATAGTATTCTTGGCTGTATTCCACCAATTGAATGGTTCCTAACCAGTTGTTAGGATAACTGATCTTATACTTCTCTTTATTAAGCTATGATCACGTAATCATCTCAAAAGACTATCAGCACATACTCTGCGCACTGATGCTGTATGTCTGGCTGCAGTGAGCAGCAAGGTGCTAAGGGTAAACGCAGGCCCTGCGAAATGTCAACCTGGTGAGGCCCCTTTCCTCAGTGATCATTTCAGTCATTTCCCCAATGCCAATTCTCACCTAACCACCTGGTTTTTGAAACCTAACCGGTTATGTTGACAAAAGAAGGGATGTATTATAGATTCATTAATAGATTCAAATAAAATTAGTATGCTCACATGGATAAATAATTAAGGGGATACATTAAAGGCAGGATTGTATTATCTTGATTAAAAGTGCTATGGGAGCAATTAAAGTTAAGATAGAATTAAAGTATAGATAAATCCCTAAAAAATGAAATAATTCCATTTGAATTAGCTGTTTGCGGGATTTGGAGATTACCTCCCCCCGCCCCATTTAATAGAGTGCCATGAATTAGGGGAGAAATTGCCCTTATGTTTACAGGGTCAAGGTTGCTGTTTTAGAATCTCTTTCAGTTTTAGTCTTCTGTAAGAAGATTCTGACTCATAGTGATTCTATAGGGCAGGATAGAACTGCCCTTCTGGGTTCCCAAGATTGTACATCGGTATAGTTAAGAGCAGAAAGCCTCATTTCTCCTGGGGAGTGGCTTGTGGCTTTGAACTGCTGAGTTGGTGATTAGCAGCCCAAGGTCTAACTCAGTGTGCCACCTAACCAATTTTACAACTGCACAAAAATGTCTGTTTTCTAATGATGAAAATGTACAAAATGACATTAAATCTTTTAAATTCAGATAATGAATTTGGAAGGTTAGAGTTGAAAGTTTCTAGAACCTTGATTTTTTTTTTAAAGGATAATGCTTGTCAGAGATTTTAGAACATGGCATGATATATTAACTGCATTATAGAGTACTTTTTACTAATGGATATGTTCCTATGTGCCTTTACCACCAATTATCTATTTTAGTATTAAATGTTCTCCAATGAAAATTACCACAAGGCCAGCAGCTTGAAACCACTAACCACTCTGTGGGAGAAACGTATGAGGCTTTCCACTCCTGTAAAGATGTAGTCTCAAAAACCCCGTCCCACAGATAGGGCCACTATGAGTTGTAATCAACTCAATGGCAGAGGTTTGAAGTAATTACCAAAAACCCTAGTACATACACAGGCACTGCTGCTAAGGTGGACAAAAAATAGACTGCACTCACTAAGCTTACATTTTAAGGGAAAGGGGGACAGTAAATATTTGTTAGATGTCAACATTATGAAAAAAAATACAAGTTCTATTAAGGAGTTAGGAATGTGGAGTTGATACATTTCACACAAACTTACATTTTTAGAAGACTGAATGTCTTCCAAGGAACCATGATGGCAAATTAGTTAATTGCTTGGCGCCAACTGGTAGGTTGGCAGTTCCACTCAAGGCCTGGTGATGTGCTCCTGTAAAACTTGCAGCCTAGAAAACCCGATGGGTCAATGTACATCAGAACTGACTAGATGGCATCTAGCAAGGAGTCTTTGGATGTAGCAATGAAGCAGGTATTTGGACACTAGCAGAAAGGCTGGTGGCTGAAACCTAAGCAAAAGTGCCACAGAAGGTTGCAGTGAGTTAGAAGTAACTGCAAGTGAGCTACTGGAAGACTAAAGGGCAGAATTCAGTTGTGCCATCTCCTGCTAGTGTGAATTTTGAAGACTGGCAATGTTTTAAGAATATGAGTGTTCTCTTTGGTTCAGACTTCTCTCACCAGTCTTTAGTTTTTCTCTCTTACTTTTCCAAGCAGTAGCTGGTGTTATGTCCAATTAATCATAATGTAAAATTACACTCATAAAGAAAAATAACTGGTTTTCAAGCCCTTTTTTAATTACTAAACACAAATACAAGTATCTTTCAAAAACCATTTTTTCTCCCAACTTCTGCCATGACTTACTTGCAAGGTTGATGGTTTAATCCACCAGCTGCCCCGCAGCAGAAAGCAGTGCATGGTTTACAAAGCTTCAGAAAGCCTATTTAGGGTCACTGTTTGAATCAACCTAGAAGTGGACTTTTGGTTTTATAGAGGCGCTAAGTTTTACTTGGAATTTTCAAGTCTGATTATAGAAATCTTAATGTGCTGTAATAAAATTGCAACTTTCACCAGCCTTTCTCATGTGTGGGATTTTTTAGGGTGACGTTTTCTGGCACTATGCTCACGCTCCCCAAAATGCAATACTTATTGTAGCCTGACCTTTTTGTCTCCTCCTTTACAGATAACCACATTTTAATATCTGCGATGGTGATTGCTAGCACAATAGTTTTGACCCTTTTGGGCGCAATCCTCTGGTTCCTGTACAAAAGACATTCCGAGTCTGGTTTCACCACTGTCTTTTCAAGTGTGGCCCAATCTCCTTACAGTGATGACTGCGTCTTGGTAGTGGAAGAAAACGAACATGCTGTTCAGTTCGACTGAATTTTTTTTGTCATCTCATATTGACATCGAAAGTACTACCAGTGATTTGTGTGAAAATTTGATATAAAACTTGGGAGTTACACACGAGTCTTTATGGTATATTTTCTCCGTATAGCAACATTGTTTTCAAGTAATAATTCTGTCAAAACCTAATCTTTGAGCACATTTTCTAAAGATTTAAAATGAACTATCATTTGGTGACTTCACCACACCCGCCCCCTTTAATGAGGGCAAGCTTGAAGCCCGAGTAAAGCAGATAAAAAGCAAAGCCCAGTGTGCTGGTCTTCCTTCTCTTCCCTTTCAGTGAACCACCCAAGTTTTTCATTGACGTTCTGGGGGTGTTGTGATTAAGTGCTTGGCAGCCAACTGAAAGGCTTGTGTGAACTTTACACTTGGAGGGACAAAGATGGGGTGTCGGCTTCCAGTAGTTACCACTGTAGGAACCTTATGGGCCATGTTTTCACCATCTTTGTGAAGACCTCTCATCTTCCGTTTAAGCAATCTCCTATGGTTTTCAAATCTTGCTCCTTGACCAAGGAACATGATGTAGAAGCCTGACATTTAAATGACTTTACACATCTGTATGTGCTTGGTGTTTTGTGGATCACTTCTCTAATTTTAATTTCCAGCTACCTTTGCAATTTAGATTACATAATTTTTACAATTTCATTACCTGTAGACATACTATTTTGGACCACAATCAGTATTCTGTACACGACAAATTAAATTTTGGGGGTAGGAAGGGAAACCCAAAGCCCATCTGTAGATAACTGGACATTCCCTCACAGAAAGGTCACAAGAACGAGAGCCACGGTGCATGCAGCACACCGCCCACGGACTGACCACACATTCCTCTAGTTCTTTATGCTTCCACCCCCACCCCATCATTACCCGTTTGGTCTTAAAAATCCAGCTAGACCAGACCATGTACACTTGGACAGATAAACCCCTCAGGAACATTAATGGGAATAGTGACATGAGGGTTGGGGGACACTGGGGG